AAGATCACCAATGGTGTTCTTAATTGAAAAATCCAGCTGGGCAGAGTGGTTCATGCCTATAATCCCAGGACAGTGGGAGGCCAAGAAGGAAGGATTGCTTGAGCCCAGGACTTTGTGACCAGCCTGGGCAACATGGTGAAACCCCGGCTCTTAAAAAGAAAGAAAGAAAAGAACCCAGGAAAGATTCTTAAATTCCTCACTTATTTTTGCTTTGTGTAAAACTAAATATTAAGACTGGGTGCAGTGGCTCATGCCTGCAATCCCAGCACTTTGGGAGGCCAAGGCAGGCCAATTGCTTAATCCCAGGAGTTCAAGACCAGCCTGTGAAACATGGCGAGACTCCATCTCTACATCTCTACAAAAACACATATATTAGCCAGGTGTGGTGGTACGTACCTATAATCCCAATTACTCAGGAGGCCGAGGCATGAGAATCACTTGAACCTGGGAGGCAGAGATTGCAGTGAGCCCAGATGGCACCACTGCACTGTGGCCTGGGTGATACAGCAAGACCCTGTCTCAAATAAATAAATACATAAATAAAATTAAAATTTAATATTAACAATTATAAGTACTCTGTCCTTCAAATTCCACCCTCCTGAACGTCCCTGGGAACCTTTTCTGCTACTCATTTTTCCACTGTTGATGCTTACCAGATCCCATCTCTTGGTCTCCTCTGATACTGCTGGGCCTAGGCCCCTCTCCTTAGGTGAAAAATTCCACATTTGAGGATTTAGTTATTGTTTGTGCTGATTTCTGCAGTCCGTATCTTCAGGCCAGACCATATTTCTAAATTCCAGAACCATATATTTTACCGCATGCTTGATATTTCTCCCTAAATATTCCACAAATATACCTCAAATCCAATAAATTCAAAATCGAACTCATAAGTTCATTCTGATGCTCTTAAATGATAGTAATCTTAGACTCTTCCTCCTTTTCTTACTCGTCCCATATCCATATCGTGATACTTCCTATTATTTCTGTCCCTTAAGTTTTTCTCAAGACTGTCCTTTCTTCTCTGTCCCCTATACCTGCTGACTTAATTTGGGGCTCATAATTTAAGGCCTAGATTACTGTGAGAATCACCCCAGGGGTTCTTGTGTATTTGTGGCCCTTGCTGCAGTTTAACCTCCATGTTGTTATAAGAGTGAGCCACTTCCTGGCCGGGCGCGGTGGCTCAAGCCTGTAATCCTAGCACTTTGGGAGGCCGAGACGGGCGGATCTCGAGGTCAGGAGATTGAGACCATCCTGGCTAACCCGGTGAAACCCCGTCTCTAGTAAAAAATACAAAAAAATAGCCGGGCGAGGTGGCGGGTGCCTGTAGTCCCAGCTACTCGGGAGGCTGAGGCAGGAGAATGGCGTAAACCCGGGAGGCGGAGCTTGCAGTGAGCCGAGATCCGGCCACTGCACTCCAGTCTCGGCGACAGAGCAAGACTCCGTCTCAAAAAAAAAAAAAAAAAAAAAGAGTGAGCCACTTCCTTTCCTGCTTAATATAATGGCTTACTGTTGGGTTTCATAAAGTCCACACTCCTTTGCTTGGCACATACGTTCCTATATAATTATTCCTTCTTACTTTCTCAACCTTATCTTCTACTTCTTTCTATAAACATTGTTCAATTTATCTATGAGTTTCTTGGATTTCCTTGAGCTGACATATTCTCTTGTGCCTTTGTATATTAAAAATGTAAGTTCTGGGCCAGGCGCGGTGGCTCACGCCTGTAATCCCAGCACTTTGGGAGGCCGAGGCGGGCGGATCACAAGGTCAGGAGATCGAGACCACGGTGAATCAACCCCGTCTCTACTAAAAATACAAAAAATTAGCCGGGCGTGGTGGCGGGCGCCTGTAGTCCCAGCTACTCAGGAGCCTGAGGCAGGAGAATGGCGTGAACCCGGGAGGCGGAGCTTGCAGTGAGCCGAGATCGCGCCACTGCTTTCCAGCCTGGGCGACAGAGCGAGACTCCGCCTCAAAGAAAAAAAAAAAAATGTAAGTTCAGGGAACGCCCCTTTCCTGTCCGGGGTTACTACCAGCCCATGGTTGTCTTTGTGCAAATTAGAGACCAATTCTGCATTCAGGCAGTCAATTCTGTGGGTGCTCAGACTGCTGATAGATAGTGTCTTTGTGTGACACAGAAAAACATACCTCCTCTGTGCTAAAGCAGCCACACGCTGCAGTACAAATCTTGGTGAGGTTAACAGTGGCTCTATCTTTCCTTTCCTACCCCCCTCCCACCTGCTGGGACCCCCTGGGCTGAACAACCCATATAATGGAGTGTAGTAACCCTGTTCCTACCTTCTCCTCCTCCTGAAACACTCTTGCTTAAGATTAGGTTGGATTTAGAATTTCTATCTCTCATTAGATCCATGGTATTTATCCTTTTATTTAGTCATCAGTTCTTTGGGGAATATGAAGAAAGCTGTGAGTCTACTCTCCATAGAAGGAAGCACCCTTGTAACATGCAGCTTACCCGAAGTTAGAAACCATATTCCCAGTGTTATTCAACTTCGTGGCTCTCGTGCTGAGGATGGAGTCTAATACTAAGTAGGCACTGAGTGACTGTGGAACTTTTGAAAGCATTTCCTGACAATCCATTTAAGTGCTTTTTCTACATTCTTACTATGTTATTTGCAGACTGCTCTCCCCTAATGTGTTTAGCACACTGCCATCATTGCTTTCTTGTCTGTGTCCCCAACGAGGCTGTAACATTTTCCAGAATGGGCACTGCTCTGTTCGTAGCTGTATTCCCAGCATCTAACATGGTACCAAGCATATAACAGGCATTTGATATGAATAGGGATTGAATATAATTTTTCAACTACTCCAGAAATACTACTACTACTACTTTTTTTCCCCCCAAAATACTTCTCCATCAACTATTAACTTCTGAGGCATAAACAGACCTTTTTTTTTTTTTTGAGATGGACTCTTGCTCTGTCACCCAGACTGGAGTGCAGTGGCACTATCTCGGCTCACTGCAAGCTCCGCCTCCCGGGTTCATGCCATTCTCCTGCCTCAGCCTCCCGAGCAGCTGGGACTACAGGCGCCCACCACCATGCCCGGCTAATTTTTTGTATTTTTATTAGAGACGGGGTTTCACCATGTTAGCCAGGATGGTCTCGATCTCCTGACCTTGTGATCCGCCTGCCTCGGCCTCCCACAGTGCTGGGATTACAGGCGTGAGCCACCAAGCCAGGCCTTTTTTTTTTTTTTTTTTTTTGAGATGAAGTTTTGTTCTTGTCGCCCAGGCTGGAGTGCAGTGGCGTGATCTTGGCTCACTGCAACCTCCGCCTCCCAGGTTCAAGTGATTCTCCTACCTCAGCCTCCCAAGTAGCTTGGATCACAGGTGCCTGCCACTATGACTGGCTAATTTTTATATTTTTAGCAGAGATGAGGTTTCACCATGTTGGCCAGACTGGTCTCAAACTCCTGACCTCAGGTGATCTGCCCGCCTCAGCCTCCGAAAGAGCTGGCATTATAGGCATGAGTCACTGTGCCCAGCCATAAGTAGACTTTTGTTGGATACAATTTAGCTACTATGTGACTGTGAGTTGGAATCTATTAGTGAAAAGGTTAAAACCAGTGGTCTTAATTTCTGACCTCGCTAAAGGAATCCAGCTTTTTGTCTCTAGCTGTTTTTGTGGCTTTCTCACTGTTCTCTGAGTAGCTTTCTGAATACTGGTTTAATCAACACTTACTGCTTGTTTGCTGTCTTTCACCCTTTGAGATCCACCGCAACCCCCCTAGTCCCCACCCTGGAGGGCAGGGGACTTATCACCATTGAACACTTTTGTGCTCATGAGTCAGGAATTTTTCCTAGACTAGAATCATGTTTATTTGCTTTTATAATTTTCCATTAGTTTGCCTCCTAGAATTCTGTGTTTCATTAATAATCCAGTTGCTTGCCTTATAATTGATTCTCTTGGACTGTAGTAAATTTCCTTTAGTTTTTTTTTCTGAAACCGAAATCATCCATTTTGCCTTTCAAAATGGGACTAGTAATTAGTTTTAAGTGAATGAAGACTTTCATGGAAATGAACAATACAAGCAGGTTTTTCCTTTCTTTGAAAGATGGAACCAGACTTATGTTTGGGCTTGAAAGTGATGATTTCCATTTTTCTCCTTTCACAGGTCCTCTTCTGGGCAAATCCAATTTTTTATTAAAGTAAACCCAGCTGCTTACTGTCTCTCTTGGATTCATTTAAAACTTCATGATCCTCCTGGATAGTAGAATGTGTTTCAACTCCCCATTAAATTTGTTGTCTAGGAATTTTACTTGTTTTTCATAGGTCATAGCAAGTTAAAAAATGACAGAGTGTCATGGTGAGCAAAAAGCAAATGTTCCTGGGTTATTTAAATTGGATTAAAATATGCCAGAGCCATGGTGACAGAAATATCAAATATGAAGCCCTTTATCTCCAGGCTCTCCAAACAGCTAATTAAAAAAAAAAAAACTATTTTCTATTCAAGTGGATGGCTTCTTTTATGACATGTGCTGTTCAGTCCCTCAACAGCTTTAAGTATGTGATTCTAAGTCAGAAGGGAGTTGGATTGTCTTATTGAAAATCTCTTCCTGAATACTTTAGTAGAATTTGGGTGTATATATAAATTTTGTATGAGCTATTTAACCATTTATTATAATTTTAATTTAACATACTTGGTATGGAAATTTCATGTTTTCATTAAAACATTTTGAAAGCACTGCTTAAAAAATAAATGTTGCTATCATTTGAACTAAAGAATAAAAACGCAAAATACTGGTTCTGTGATTATACCAATCAAGTTGGGAGAAGGGAGCTGTGGAAAGAACTTGGAGCTCCTGGCTTTCAGTCCAGTGCCCGTGGGTCTGACAGGGAATACCATCTTGGAGCCTCTGGCAGGATACTGTATTAGACTATCAAGGCTGCTTGAACCTTAGGATTTTGGACCTTGGGTAACTTTAGCATCATGGCTCTGCTTAAAGCATCTTTAATGAGTTATGTTTTGATATTTGCAATTTCAGAGCAATAAACTGGAGGAGAAAAAAAGACTTCAAGAAAACCTTAGGAGAGAAGCATTTAGAGAGCATCAACAATAGTAAGTTAATGTTTCCAGAACTTTGTGCCTTTATAGGCAGATTGTTCATACAGGTTTTAAATTCAGGTGATGGTCACTTGTCAAAACACCTGGTATTGGGTTATTGGCTGTTATATTAATTATGTCATTGAACTCTGTCACCATGTAAGTAAGGTGGGAGTCATGTCTACTCACCAAAGTATCCTTGAGTAGTCAATAACACTAAATTTGAGAAATTCTCCATTATAAATGACTTGGAAGACTTGATCCTTTGGTGATCCAAGGTACTTCTGCTTATGTTGACTTCCAGGATACCAATATAAGGAACAGAGTGTGTGCACTGAAGTGCCTAAGCAGAATCTAAACTGACCAGGGATTTATCTAATGGACTGCTATACACCTGTATTTTTTTCTAGACAAGAATTGAGAAGTCATTTAGTAGTTATTGGCAAAACTCTCCACTGGTGGTCATACAGCAAGGTAATTTGCAGTATGATTTGTGAACAACAGCAGCTAATAGATACGGGGCAACTACTACGTGCTTTATAACGCAATCTACTTTGTTATGTAGGCTTGAAGGATACGCTCATGTACTAACTCTTGGTAGCCAGGTTACCTGCACATTGATTAAAAGACAAAACCAAAGAATCCTATTTCTGGCCCTACATTAATTCTAAATGTGGTAGAAATAGAACCAAGCAGATCTGGGTTCAAAGTCCTAGCTCCCACTAAAACTCTTCGAATGTCAGCGTTCTTTGTTTTTTTTTTTTTTTTTTTTTGAGACGGAGTCTCGCTCTGTCGCCCAGGCTGGAGTGCAGTGGCGGGATCTCAGCTCACTGCAAGCTCCGCCTCCCGGGTTCGGGCCATTCTCCTGTCTCAGCCTCCTGAGTAGCTGGGACTACAGGCGCCCGCCACCTCGCCCGGCTAGTTTTTTGTATTTTTTAGTAGAGACGGGGTTTCACCGTGTTAGCCAGGATGGTCTCGATCTCCTGACCTAGTGATCCGCCCGTCTCGGCCTCCCAAAGTGCTGGGATTACAGGCTTGAGCCACCGCGCCCGGCCTTTTTTTTTTTCTTAAATAGAGATCGTATCTATCTTATAGGCCATTTGCAAGAATTACATAAAATATGTAAATGACATAAAAGTTCCTATTACAGGCACTTGAAATGATCCTTCTTACAGTGGCCCTTGTTGAGTAGGCTCATATAACTTCTATTTTATGGAGGCTGTACGTGAATTTCTGGTCCCACCAGAACCAGTAGTGGGCGCTCCACTTTCATATGAAATATTCACTGCCTGCCTCCTGATCTCTCGCTCCATTGTTGTTCCTTGTTTGCAGAATTTAAGATCACTCACATGTCGGGGTGAGCGTATTTGTGACACCCTCCAACATATTCCTCCTCCTCAGCACAGTATCCTCTGATTTCTCACGCCACTAAAATTATCCTGCCTCTATCATAAGCAGCCCTTTCTTGCTTTAAGATTCAGAGGCAGGAATGGAAGAGAAGTTTCTCAACCCGCTGCTTGCTCCTTAACAAGTTAGATACTGTGTTTCTGCTACCCAGGCCAGAAAATAGATGGGAGATGGGATTGGGTAGGATGAAAGTGTTGGTAAGTGATGTCATCCTCCTCAGCTAAAAAGGAGCCTCACTCTAATTTTCATCACAGAATCCTTAGCCTGTCTCTCTCCACTCTTCTTGTAAGGAAGGCATTTGAGTGAGGAGCTAGTGGGAAACTAAGGAGCTAAGCACCAGGAGAAACTGTCTGTCTTGCGGAGATATGGTGGGAGGAAGGCACTAGATGACCGCTGTGAATGTATCATTGCTTTTCCTCTCATGGGTAGAGAATGAATGATAATTTATTTCAAGACTCAGCCTGAAGAGGTGAGAGAGATTAGGGGCTGCGCTGGTGGCTTTGTGTCCGAAGTTGATTCCTTCCGGTGGGTTCTTGGACTTGCTCACTTCAGGAATGAAGCCACAGACCTTTGTGGTGAGTGTTACAGCTCTTAAAGGTGGCACAGACCCAGAGAGTGAGCAGCAGCAAGATTTATTGTGGAGAGCGAAAGAACAAAGCTTCCACAGTGTGGAAGGGTACCTAAGCAGGTTGCCACTGCTGGCTGGGGTGGCCAGTTTTTATTCCCTTATTTGTCCCTGTCCATATCCTGCTGATTGGTCCATTTTACAGGTGCTGATTGGTCCATTTTACAGAGTGCTGATTGGTGCATTTTACAAACCTTTAGCTAGCCACAGAGCACTGATTGGTATGTTTTTACAGAGTACTGATTAGAGCGTTTTACAAACCTCTAGCTAGCCACAGAGCGCTGATTGGTGTGTTTTACAGTCCTAGCTACAGAGTGCTGATTGGTGCATTTTATAATCCTCTTGTAAGACAGAAAAGTTCTCCAAGTCCCCACCCGACCCAGAAGTTCAGCTGGCTTCACCTCTCAACTTTGGTAGCCTAGAGTCACAAATGAGAACAAATGTCATTGTCCTATGACATACTAGTTTTACATCAGAAGAGGGAAGACCTACTTAGCAGTGAGGGGCCTTGGGCACAGGACTGGATAGTTGAATGGGTTCATTCTCTGGAGAGTTCTAAATACGGCAAAGTAAAGGATAAGAGATTCTTGAAGTTTTAAAAGACTTTAGAAGTTGTGCGTCCAACCTCCTTTCTTTTATAGTTCTAGCTTCTTGAGTCTTAGTAAAACAACTAAATACAGAAGATCAATCACTCTTTTTTCTGTAAAGAAAAAAAAAACTTTGCCCTCAGCCACCCAGCCTACTGTCAGTGGAGCTGAATTCAATTACACGCACATTTCACTCTTGCTCTTTCTTCTGCTTGTTGTAAAAGTCCCAGGTAACCAAGAAAAAGAGAGGTTGGCTAAAAACGAGAAGGATCTCAAATTGATTTTTAAAGCCTATTGAGAAACACGAGAAGAGGTATATGCGTGAGGTTCTTTGAAAGAGTATTGTGTTTTGAATTACTTTTGAAATTAAAAGACCAATAGCTCATGAAATAAGCAGCAATTGTATAGTTAGAAACATAAAAGAGATTTAGAAAAGATGGATCCTCTATATGACAAGTCTTTGTCATACCTTCTTAGAATCAGTTTGTGGTGGGAAAAAAACGTCTAGGAAAGCTCTTTGGATTTTTTTTTTTTTTTTGAAACGGAGTCTCGCTCTGTTGCTCAGGCTGGAGTGCAATGGCTCAATCTTGGCTCACTGCAACCTCCGCCTCCCGGATTCAAGTGATTTTCCTGCCTCAGCCTCCCAAGTAGCTGGGATTACAAGCGCATGCCACCACACCTGGTGAATTTTTGTATATTTGGTAGAGATGGGGTTTCACCACGTTGGCCAGGGTAGTCTCAAACTCCTGACCTCCAGTGATCCACTTGCCTTGGCCTCCCAAAGAGCTAGGATTACAAGTGTGAGCCACCGAGTCCAGCCAGCTCTTTGGATTTTTAACATCACAAAGGTTTTGCCAGACCAACCAGACTGCCTACCCCCACCTCCCAAATTAGTTTCTCCTGAAACTGTCAAACGAAGGAACACAAAATAGAAACACGCATAAGAAATTCTTTCAAACCAGTCAGTACTTTGCTAGCTTCCCCATGCTGCAATGTGTGATTCGCACAGCAGACCAGGAATGATACTGTTTTCTGTAGAGAGGGCAACCATGGACTTGAGCGGATTGTAAATCCAAGTTGCTGGAGAAAAAGCTCACGATAGCGACCTGGGGCACCACCATGAGAATCTTAATGTGCTCTTTCTTAACACCTTGTTCTTGACTTCGTTCATTTGCTTCTGATTATTTTTAGTGTTGTCAATTATTTAGCTAACAGGCAGAAAACTAGGCTTTTATTGACATCCAAAGGGACTCTCCTGAGTGTAATAATGAAGGCAGTTTATCGAATGCCCGTGAGGTTGCTTTCTAATTGTACGCAGTAATCTGCCCGTGCAAGCTGGCTGAAAATACACAAGCAGATTGCACATGCAGATGGAGCACACAGGATGGTTTTTATGGAAGGACCTCTGGAATGTACTTTTGCAGTACTGTCTTTTCCCTAAAAATCGAACGACTGTGACTGTTTCAATGAGCGGCTGAGAGCAGAACAGATGAATGGTGCATTAAGTCTGCTACTCTGGCTGGGGACAGACTCCAATTTCACAATTTAGAATTCGTTTTAGGATTCTTGAGCCTGAAAACAGGGTAGAAATCGGCTGTTAGCCTTGGTCTAAGTTTCAAGGTTATTTTTAGTCTCTGTAATTATTTACTACTTATAAAAATTCATGCGTGATACCTTTGGGTGGACTTTTCTATTAGGTAGAAGATGTGAAGTAACCGTTGATAAGCCTTTTTAAAAAAACAATCATAGGATTTTATGATTTCGGTTCTTTAAAACATGGGGTAAAATAAATCTCAGCATTTTAAATGTTAATTGGTAATTTGTTGTTGGTGGTGGTGGGGTGTAGTCATCTTTCCAATTGTGTTTTTTTGGATGAGTATTAAGACAGGTTTGAATTTTGAGCCTATTTAACCAGCTAGGGTAGGAAAATGAGTGAAGCAGGACAGATGCATTTTGTGTGTGGGTATTAGGAAAAAGTGTTCTTTTAAGAATTTTCTGGAGATGTAAGAATTGGCTACATTTTAAACATTAACAATTTAAAATTCATGTCTAATAACCACTTGATGACCAAAAAGGAAAGGTCTCTCTCTTCTGTTTTTTTTTTGAGATGGGGTCTCATTCTGTTGCCCAGGCTGGAGTGCAGTGGCTCAATCTCAGCTCACTGCAGCTTCTGCCTCCTGGGTTCAGATGATTTCTCCCACCTCAGCCTCCCAAGTAGCTGGGGCTATAGGCATGCACTACAATGCCCAGCTAATTTTTTGTATTTTTAGTAGAGATGGGGTTTCACCATATTGGCCAGACTGGTCTTGAACTCCTGACCTCTTGTGATCCACCTGCCTAGGCCGCCCAAAGTGCTGGGATTACAGGCATGAGCCACGTGCCTGGCTCAAAGCCTC